GCGAATACACCCGCAGTATGAATCCGTGTGATTGCTGGATTTGAACCGTGAACCTCTGAAACAAGGGGCAAACCACACGCTACCCACTCCACCATGCCACCGCCCGAAGATTTAGTTACATCTTGGTCAAGCACTTTCATCGGATGCCTCCAGTTCTCAATAATTATTCTGATTCTGATAGACAGATTGCCACAGCTCACACACGGCTGCAAAGTGGGCTGCTTTAACCTTCCACTACAGGCTTATCTCGCTTTGTTGCGCTTCGCTATAATTGCGCTTTTTTAAATGTCGGATCTCAAGATGAATGTCGCATCTCAAGATTCTCAACTTAGCAAGAGAATAAGATTCGATGAGTAATTACGCACGTACATAATTTACAATCTGATTGTGCTTATCATCATCTGCAACTCCCGCGTTTTGCATGTGAACTTAGCGAGTCAGTCGGCGTGATTTTAACTTTTCTATTGATTTACGTGTCGTTTAAACATGTTTTAAGGCTTTTATATGCATTCCCAAGTGATACAAAGCTGGATTACTATTTTCGGTTTGTTGCCGTGCGGCTATGCCTGTGCGTACTTTAAACAAGACATCATCGCCAGCATCTTTTTTTGTCCACATCTTTTACATTTTCCCGTGACCACGATGCACTTAATTAATTAATTCAGGAATATTAGCTTGTGTTTTTCCCAGCTTAGAGAAACAGTTGAGGTGGGGGGGGGGGGTCAAGAGGACGGCGTGGGTGGGGTGGGGGGGGGAGACTTTTGATCGATTCAGGGGTCGCCAACCTGCGGGTCCGGTGCTACGTGCGATGGCTCTTCACGGACTGCTGCTGCTGCTGCTTCGTGGCAGTTGTTTATTCAGGAACCACCGCCGTCTCGTATTCACAACGTGCATTGTCCGCCTCTTGAAATATTGAGATTTTTTTTTGTTACCAAATTTAATAAACAAAAAAATTGCTCTGCTTGTGATTTAGGTTATTGACTCTCGGTCTACGTCTGCCGCATATATCAGTGTCGGTCTCTCTCATCTCTCTCTGTGTCTGTCTTCGTGACCGCCTTTGTTTTTCTCTCCCTTAACTTTTATATTCGTCTCCCTGCATGTTTCTCAGTACCTCGATGTCTGGCTGTCTTTCTGTACCCACGTCTGGCTCTGTGTCGCCTTTGTCTCCAGGGCCTCCATGTGTCTGTGTATCTCTGTCTCACTCTCTCTCTCGCGCGGTGTCTCTCACGAGGGTTTCCATGAAGACGTATGATAAGTAACTCAGATTATTTGAGTCGAAATGTGTTTGCACGAGTTGTGTACCTCTGCTTCGTCCAGCGTGCGACTGTACTCTGCCACCTTTGGCGCTGTGTCCTCTGGATCGCTTGCAGGTTGTTTGGTTTCTCCTCCTGATTATGGCTGCGATTGGATAAACTTTGCCACACGTTTCTCATTCTGAGTAAAACTCTATTCATCATCATCATCAACAACCATGACCTATCCACTGCTGGACGTAGGCCTCCATACCCCATGACAATCGGCCCCAGTCCTGCGACGCCGACGCCGCTCTCACTCCTGCACTCGAGCTGACCTCGCTCCTCCGTTCCCGTGGTGATCACGCAGCGCCTTCTATCCCCTGGCCGACATTCCATCACCAGTCTCGTCAAATCGGTCAACATTCCTCGTATGTAGCAGTAATGCAGCAACATGGATCGTCGTTTCCATCCATGACCTACCGACTGCTGGATAAGTACCACCCACAGACATCATCGTGCCCCAGACGCATGCGATGCAACAACTAGCGAGCTCCTGCACATGAACAATTCTCATGGCTCCATCTCTGGGCTCCTTCCTTCAGCTGCCCTTCGTTTGTTCGTCTCAGCCGCCGGCCACCATCCTTCACCGCAACGTGCCCTGCCCAGTCCCACGTTCCTTTACACTTAATAAGGGGGCGTCCATAAATGACGTCACGCACCTGAGGGGGGGGGGGGGGTTCAGACATTTATGACGATGTGTGACGACGGGGGGGGGGGGGGGGTTGAGAAATGTGACGTCACATCAAAATGCGCAACTTTAAATAAATATAGACAACACGTTATACTGAATTAAATAAACTTTTTAATAAATGTTTTCTCCAACATCAGAGTGCAGCGCCACATTAAATACGCACTATAATGACAATTGTTTAAAGCGATTTGAAGCATGTTTTTTTTTTTTGGGGGGGGGCGGTGGAGGCAGTGCTTTGTGACGTCATATTTGAGAGGGGGTCTGACTTTTTGTGACGCCGTGTGACGAACGGGGGGGGTCAAAAATCGTCCAAAATCGCGTGACGTCATTTATGGACGGCCCCAAAGCTGCGCTGGCTCCGTTAGCTTAGCAGTGCAACATTTGAGGATCGTTTGCATGCATTGCATCCGCCCACACAGCTTGAAAGACGCGGTCCATGCTTGGCAGTGATCACTCAAGCGCTGTCTTCTGGACAGACCTGTTTCTTCACCTGAAGAAGGCTACTTGTGTTGCGGCCGAAACGTCGTGAGAATTTTAGTTTATTATGTTTTATTATATTATTTTATTCTCATTCTACGTTACTTTACCGAAAGAACCAAGACGATGAATCTGGAGCATTATTTACAAAGCACTAACCATCACTGTACAATGCCACCCTCGTTGTACTGGTGACAATGACAATAAAGGATCTCGATTTAAAGCTTTCGTGATTGCAAGGATTCATCTTCTTTGGTTCTTTCGGTAAAGTCACGTAGAATGAGAATAAAATAATAAATTGATCAAATAAAATAACACTCCAGCGCAGTCTTCAAGACAGGCTGGTCCCTTCACCTGATGAAGGCCGCTTGTGTTGTGGCCGAAACGTCGTGATAATTTTATTGTGTTATTTTATTTTGTCAATTTATTATTTTATTCTCATTCTACGTGACTTTATCAATTTATTATTTTATTCTCATTCTACGTGACTTTACCGAAAGAACCAAAGAAGAAAAATAAAGGATCTATCTTTCTATCTTTTGTGCTTAAGCTTCGCTCACTTGTGTTGTTTCACTTCAGTCTCCCTTCCAAAATGGACATTGGACTCCCACATCGCCTGGTTTTAGATGAACGTGGTGGTTTTTTTGTAAGGCAACGTTATAGCTTAAGCCAGCGGGCAGCGTCGTGAATGATACCCTGTCTGTTTGTCGCACGCTTCATGTTACGGAAATAAATAAATCCCTTCACCACGACTCTCGTGAACGTGCTCCGTCGAAGCCAACCTTGACAGATGTAGTTTTCTTCTTTGCATCTGAACATAATTACTCTCTGTACTCTGTTGTTGGGGGGAGGGGGGGGGGCATACCGATGCTTATGGCTCAAATGAAAGTTCTTGTTGGACAGACACGCATTTTACAGCACGCACAATGGTTCTGCATTGACGTGTGTGCTTTCCAGTTTGCCCTACAGGTCATACACAGTCGGGTCATTTCAGTCAATTAGTTGTGGTTACGACAATGATTCTGTGTACAGTGAGACATGAAGTTATTTATTACTGTGATGAATTCGGAGCTTTTGAGTTCGTGATTGGGGATGCATTATAATCACATCATCATCAGCAGTCATCCACTGCTGGATGATGACCTCCACAAGTCATCAGCCTACCTTGCGATATTTTTGCGAGGCATGCTTCTGCATACGAGATTATTCAATCGCCCAATTTTCACGGTGGACAGCCTCTTTGCCTGCTACTCCGTGATCCTGCAAACGTTGTTTAATGGATGCGTTCCTATCGTCTCTCCGTATGATCCAAAGTACGTACCTCTCCCTGCCTCTTTGTACACTGTTCAGATTTTGCTCCATTTTCCTGATCATCGTCTTTCTGGAAGTGCGGAAAATATTTTCAGCAGTGTTGATTTAATACAAACTCATCATACAAGCAAACTATTCCAGAGGGAGACAATTATGGGAAGCGTGTATAGCGTACGCTCTTTTAGATGGTTACTTATATTCTTCATATGTCTTGTTTAATATAAGCAATGTTTGCATGTTTAAATTCAGCAAAGTCGTCTACGGTTTGCTTGTACTCAACTGATATCCACTCGCAGAAGGTCTGTGTAGCCGATGAAAAGTAAAAACATATTTGTTATATTTTGATTTAAAGCTTTCGTGACTGCAGTAATTCATATTCTTAGCTCTTTCGGTAAAGTTACGTTGAAGGGAAACAATAAAATAATAAAATATATTGTTTTTATATATATTTTATTACTTTATTGTTTCCCTTCAACGTGACATTACCGAAAGAGCTAAGAATACATATTTGTTATGTTTTATATGGAGAGATATAAGTTATATTCTTGGTTCTTTCGGTGAAGTCACGTAGAAGGGAAACAATACAATAATAAAAATATAAAACAATAAAATTCTCACGACGTTTCGACTGCAACACAAGCAATCATCATCAGGTGTGAAAACCACGGCAAGAAAATTTGAAAAAAGTTGTGGTTTTCACACCTGATGATGATTGCTTGTGTTGCAGTCGACACGTCGTTATAATTTTATTGTTTTATATTTTTATTATTTAATTGTTTCCCTTCTACGTGACTTTACCGAAAGAACCAATAATATGAATCCCTGCAGTCACTAAAGCTTTAAATCAAGATATAAGTTAGTTGTAATTACTGGCAAAACGTCGTACTCAGATTGTAAATGTTGTGGCTTAGGCTCTCCAACACACCGGTGTGCTGTACTAGTAGTGGCATGTTCTGTTTACGTGACAACCCTTACTAATTGGCTGTGTCGGGTGGTGGCGGGTTTAATGACACATTAATATTTATGCGATCTAATCTTTAAAAAAAACCTGTGATATGGATGCTATTGGTCGCGAACGTCTGTTTCCTCTATTTGTCTTCACCTTTAATGTTCCAATGTATTGTTTCTGATATTCCTTCAGAGTAATGACATAGCCCAGTGCTGCCTGAAGTACTTTACCATGGGTGAGGCATCAGTTCGACATTTGGAGCGGCAGCACAGAACAACTTGCGGAATTCTAGAAATTGCAAAAGTTAAGAGTTGTCATATCTTCAACTCACAAGCGAGTTGAAACCAACAAGCACGCGTCATGATATAAACCACTTCCACGACCTACCATGTGTGACCAGGTCGCCTATTAAAGACAGCTCAGCTCAGTGGGCTTTACCTATGCTCCTCCTATGGAGTGCCTATAGATGATCTTCTAAAAAAAACGACTTCATTACATTTCACCTGCGCTTTGGGCTATTGCAAATTTGCAGATAACATTCCACCAATGGAATGAGAGGGAATTAAGCGAAAGAGGAAGTGCTATTTTGGTTTGTATGCGTTGCTCACAATTTGTGTAAATGGGCGGAGTGGCAGGAGGCGGGCGTGCACTTACAGAAAGATAAGCCACACGCGCTCGCTCTCCAAGACTTTGCTATGAACGCCTCTCCGTAGCAGACTCAAAGGGGGCCAGGCAGCCGCGTGTGTGGAACACGCATGCTCTCAAGATGAACAATTCAGAGGCGCCGTGGAATTATACCTTGCCGAACATTTCGGCAAGTAAGACGGAATGCCTAACTCTGAGAGACAACAGCACGCTGCAGTGGCTTCAAGGGGACAGCTCCCAGATTGTGCAGCCGATAATCTACATCATCGTCATCATCGTCAGCCTGCCGGCCAACGCCGCTGCCCTGTGGTTCCTCGTGAACCCCACGGTGAACGTGAAGCGCACGCCCTCCACCGTGTTCACCAAGAACCTGGCCGCCGCTGACCTCCTCTACCTGCTCTTCCTCCCGCTGGCCATCGCCTACAACTTCAACGGCAACGACTGGCGCTTCGGCACCATCCTGTGCCACGTGGTGGTGTCGCTCACCTACCTCAACGCGCACTGCTCCATCTTCCTGCTCACCTGCATCAGCGTGGACCGCTACCTCGCCCTGGTGCATCCGGTCAAGTCGCGCCCGTGGCGGACCCCGAGGTACGCGGCCGTGCTGAGCTCCGTCATGTGGACGCTGATGGTCCTCTCCGTCGTGCCGATTAACACCGTGCAGCTGGTCACGTGCGTCAGTGGCCCCGGCGCCGTTCCGCAAACGGCGGGCGGCACTCTCACCACCTGCTTCGACGTGTTCACCAGAAGTGGCGGCCGATTCCTCGTCATCTACTCCATGGTCTTCTTCGCCATCGCCTTCCTGGCTCCGTTCGCCATCACGACGTTCTGCTACGTTGCCATCATGCGCTCACTGAGGCGCTCCTCTCGACGAGGGGAACAAATGGACCGAGAGAAGAAGAAGGCCGTGCATCTGTGCGTCACGGTGCTCGGAGCCTTTGTCCTGTGCTTCGTTCCCACGAACGTCACGTTGCTGGTGCACGCTTTGCGCATAAAGTTATATCAGAACACGTCCCTCTATGGGGTCTACAAGATCTGCTTGGCGCTGGCGAGTCTTAACACCTGCCTGGACTCTTTCGTTTATTATGTCGTCTCTAAGCCCTTCAGACAGAAGGTCCGCAGCCTTCTCTGCTGCTTCTCAGCTGCGTTTCGGCGCAAGGAGTCCGTGTCATTGTCTCTGTCTCCGTCGGTGAAGTCAAAGAGAGAAGATTCTTTACGGCCGTTGTAATATTACAGTGTACATGCTACAGCGTTTCTTGGGGATATTTTCTACCATGCAACTCCAACCCTTATGCCGCTCCTGGAATCTCCATTGTCAGCGGTGGAAACAAATGTGTGTGATCTTGTAGGCTGGGTTGGTGGATTTTGGATGAGACACTTAACTTGCGAATCAAGGGCGGTACCTGTAGATAGCTCTGCAGCTTCGAGCAGGCTGTCAGCGATGAGAGAAACTGTTCTGACCATGTGTTTGGCGTTTGTGTGGTCACACACTCTAACCCAAGTTTCCTTCCACGTGAAATAATAACCAGGCAAAAATAAGTCGCCAAACGTACCACGGCATACCCAGCCAAACTTACCCAACTAAATCACCAAATGTGTATACCGTAATTCATAAACGGTGTTTATGTTTATAAATTTCTAAGCAGAAAAATGTTGGAGTTTGGAAACACAAACTTCCTGGTTTTTTTGCCCGATATTTAAAGACGTTGCCTTCTGCTCCATGTTTGTATTCAACCACAGCATGGCCTACACCAAGAGTGTTGATGCTATATTTCCGTCAGGCGCCAAAGTTGCAAAGGAATTTAAATATATACATGAATTGTAAACACACGTAAGGCAGTCTCTGAGATAGTTTGCAGACTTCGAATGTACCTTTCCTGTATTACCAGATCACTATAATCATAAGAGTATGAAGTTGTCGATACAGAACCTAATAAAAAAAACAACACCACAACCCAAGTAACAAGTGTTCCTAGGCACCTTTTATTCGGCTCTGTGTCTAGTTATGGTCATGAACATTCAAACATGCAGAGCGCACCACGGTTTATTATTGCTTATAGGGGACGTCTCTTAACATAAACTTACAAAATATTGCAGATTATTGAACATGAGAGCAGGGACTTTATAAACACCTCGTGATGCTGGTTGTAACCACCAGCGAAACGTCAGACAAAATTATGAAAAGATTTAGCTTTTCAACATTCCGGTTTTTTTGCTGATCAGCCAAAACAAGTGGCTCATTTGCTCACTTGATTTGCTTGTCTTTGTCTGATGGTTAAAAAAACACACACACACATTGACGATCTACCAAAAAACTAAACTAATTTGTGAGTGCACTTGAAGAAGTATCACGAAGTTTAATCGTGGACTAAGCGGATTGTGGATTAAGGGGATTGTGGAAGAGCATGGCGTCGGCAAAGCCAAATTTACAAGAAGCGACTTTTTTATCGAATTCGCTAAAAACAACTCAATTTTCAAGATCCGCAGAGTGCACGTTGTGAATACGAGACGGTGGTGGGCCATTAACAAACAACTGTCACAAAGCAGCAACCACAGTCCGTAAAGAGCCACGCATCATGTCGCATCAGAGTCGAAGGTTTGCCGAGCCCGGTAGAAGACCGTTGCCAAAGAATCCCCAAACTCAAATATAACAAAATGTACTGACAGAATGTATGAATATTTAGCCTCATTTTAAGTTTGCTTCGGCATTTTCAGACACGTAGTGTTACAACAAAAAACAACCAACCCTAACCAACTCTTAAAACTCCACACACGTGCTTTCGCCACACACACACAGCCGCAGTACAGTCTATATATTGTGCAGTCTACTGCTGTGTTATACAATTACTTGGCAGCGCTGCTGCGAACACATGAAGAGTCAGCTGGATTGTGGTGCAGTACGGCTCGAAAAACTGTCTCGACTCGAACGTAAAGGTTCACAAGGGACCTCTGGTTCTACTGGTTTGTGCCCATTTACACAAGACTGCAGAATGACTGCAGATAGCCCAGCGGCATACACGCACAGACATGATTGGGCACTTCAAATCCGTGCTTGAACATCCCCTATTATCACTCTTCGTTCAGCGGTAGTTTTCAACACTCGATGGCAATGTTTTCTGGTGTCTCTGAGTCTCTGTTTAGTGGAGTGTGTACTTTCGTTACGTACTGCCATGTTACATGTGCCAGAGTGTATGGGCCAAACACAAGTTGGCACAGTAGGGGCCACAGGTGGTGCATCGGCCAAGTCATCTCAGTCAGTCGACCCGGGGCACCTGCTGGGTCTGCCCCGTGACCTCCTACCAGCAGGCGTTCGACACTTCACGTGGCCTCAATGTGCACATAGCCTGGCACAAGCGTCGTGGTGCCGTCACCGCAACTTAGTGGCGAATGGCTGTTGTTTTTGTTGGGCAAAACACTGCCCCGTGTAAGCCGCCTTGCAGCGTCCCGGGCAGGTTTCAAGTTCGGCTCATTAGAGACGAAGCTAATTTGTAACTAATCAATGTCCTGTAACCTTAATTGAAACAAATCTGCTGAGGCGTGAGAAGCCCCTGGGCACTCGTCCATGGCATTGTAAGCGGGCGTGAATTCCAAGTCCAAAGCTCAAAAAACACAACTCTGCAAACCAATCAGCCCACAAGTCGGCCAATAACCGCGTGTGCTTTAAGTCGATAGTGCCCCGTGTTGTCTTGTGGCTCTGAACCACTTTTCGTAGATTCTGGAATGCGATGAGGACCCAGTTAAAAACGCAGCGTTGGACCTTTTGAGTCCAATGGTTTTCAACCACATACGAATGTGAGCTCAGCGTTGCATGTTTTTTTTTATTCTGGCGAGGCTTGGCCACCCTTTGGTATGTGCTTGGCTAACAGTGCAGTAGTGTATGTGGAGATACACTTACTATAGACAGTCCGACCTGAAGGGTTCGGTGAAGTGCGTTATAAAGTCAGACCAGTTTTGTTTCCAAAGTCCAGATTGTGCAATTTCTCACTCGGGTCGAAAGTATTCATCTTATACAGGTATCATGCAAACAGTGCCTCATCACATCCACGTCCAACAACTGTTTGGTGTAATTTATTTACCCTAGCATACATTGCTGCCATTAAGTGGCATACTACATCTGAGGTATAATAAACTATCTCATATGAAAATGTCCTCAAATCCGTTTCCCATTGAAAACGTTCAAGCCGCGTTTGCTGAGATCTCGTAACATCGCTTCGCCGAATTATGTAAACAATGTGTTTGATCAAGAAAGTGTGCCAACTACATTCGAAATATTATTGTTTCTAAATGTACATTTTTCAAGCTACGTTCTTTTACGAATCACATATAATTGTCATACAGTATATGATTATTTTTAAAAGAAACCTCGATATCGGGCAATGTTTATAATTTAAATGAACAAGAGATGTCTTGGAATTCATTTCAGCCTGCAATGTAATTCCGTGTCTGTAGTTAATTGTTGGTCCAACGGTTCTAGCGAGAGCTTGTTTTTGTGGGTTAGAGATCGCGTAAAAATATAAATGTCGTTAAACCTGCCACCACCCGACACAGCCAATTAGTAAGGTTTGTCACGTAAGCGAAACATGCCAATTTAGCACACCGGTGTGTTGGAGCAGGGGTCCCCAACCCCCAGTCCGTGGCCTGTTAGGAACCGGGCCACACAGCAGCAGCAGGAGGTAAGCGGTGAGTCCGCGCGTAGCCCGTTCATTATTTTATTTTTCACCGCTTCCGTCCGCGCCTCTTTCCCGCACTGCGCACTCGTCTCAGTCACAGTGTTGGTAAGCCCACGAGCTCTAACCCCTAGTAGCCACAATGAGTAAGCCCACGAGCTCTAACCCCTAGTAGCCACAATGAGTAAGCCCACGAGCTCTAACCCCTAGTAGCCACAATGAGTAAAAAACAAACGTCGCTGGAGAGCTTCTTTGAAAAGGGGGAAAGACCCAATGATGACCCCCCCCCCCCACCCCCCGGGTCCGTGACAAAATTGCCTTCCACGAAACCGGTCCCTGGTGCCAAAAATGTTGGGAACCGCTGTGTTGGAGAGTTCACCCACAACATTTATCATTCGAGTCCGACGTTTCTCCGGGAATTGCAACCAGCCTCAGCAGACGACATGCTTATCGTTGGCCCAACGTTGACATGTTTCATGGGATTGAGTTTGAAATGCGGGACTGCCTACGGTTTCCAAACTAAACGTAAGCTTTTGTTTTAGCAAAACCGATTAAAAAAAATTCTAAACGTACCAGCAAATGTGCATGCATTAACGTTTGTCTCAAGACGGTATTTAAATTTGTTTTAATCCATTTCACGTGAAATGGTGCAAATTGATCGATTCACTTTGAATAACTCGTTATGAACTAGAACAAAACACGTAGTAAAAAAATAATTTCTTCAAAAAATATTGATATCTTTATGAAAGCATATGTCTCCTTTTAAGTAAATAACTGCAGCTTCTAAATAAGGCCATCTTCTTCCCTTTACCGAGGTCGCTGGGTTTATTAACGTCTTCTGTCACTAGTCTACTGTTGGCAGTAATCGGTTCGTTGTATTTTTCTCCCGTGACATATCTCTCTGCTCTATAAGGTATCTCCTCCACTCCTTGAGTCTCATCATTTCATCAGTCATCTGCCTCTGATGGCTATCGTACAGCTTGGTAGAGGAGAACTAATTTCCCCAGGGCCCTATCATCCGCGACTCCGATAATAATCTGTGGCAGCTGTATAGTCCACAGAAACTCTTATGACCTGTGGACCTATTTTTTTCTAGTATCTGCAAAGTTATCTGCATTTTATTTTTATGCCCTGCGGATAAGAGCAGTGAAATTGTAGATAATGCTGCAGATAATAGGATCTATGTTTTCGGTTCCCCATAGTACCGCAGAAATGAGGAGCTCTGCTGTATTTACAATGTGTTATCAGGAAGGCATCCTCCGGTTCTCGACGCGTTCTCGTGTTTCATATTGGAATGAAATTTTGTGCATAATGTCTAAATATTGTGCACGTACTGTCATTGTGAAATACAGTAAACGATGAGAGATGACACGCACGCAAAACTAACCTGCACCAATGTCACACTAACATCTGCTGCAAATACCGCGGAAAAAATAGTTTCCCTTGTAAAATGCTCCCTTTTGTAATTCGTATTTCCAATCAATCTGACACATCAGCAATGTGAAGCAGTGCATATAATGCAATACGGTAGTGCATTATTATTTGTGTCAATAACGTAGCTGTTATCGTGTGTACCGTGCCAACTTACGGACACACGAGAATAATGTTTAGGTGAGGAGGCAGGTAGTCCTGGGTGCCCATGTCGGGTAGGTAATGGGCCTGTGAAGGCTACTTTGGGGGCATGCCACATGGCTTGCCATCCTAATCCCTTACAGAAGAGCAAGTGGCTCGCAGCCAGAATGTCGTGAGTCCACAGTCGTGGTTGGGGGTCGACTCAGCCCGTCGACCCTTCGTGTCCACTTCGTTGTCCTTCCCCCGCACCTCCGATTGGCTACGTACGGTGCGAAGGAAGCTCAAACGCACATACATATGTACAATAAAATGACTACGCACCACCGTTGGGGAAAGTCAACAGTGGTTATCCAATGGATGAACTCGCCCCCGCCATAGGAATGCTGAATTTCCTCCACCGGCTCAAGGCTGTAAACGGGAGATGAGCGCTGCTTCGATGGTCATCTTAAGTAGGAAATCTCATTGACCTTCTTCTTTGGTTCTTTCGGTAAAGTCACGTAGAATGAGAATAAAATAATAAATTGATAAAATACAATAACACAATAATATTCTCACGACGTTTCGGCCACAACACAAGCGGCCTTCATCAGGTGAAGGGGACGAGACTGTCTGGAGGACAGCGCTGGAGTGAGAAAGCCACGCTGAGATCACGACCTTTAAGCTGTGTGAGAAGAAACAAAGCGCCTTGACAAAGGAATTAGCATATAATTTAGCATTGAAATGG